GAGGGAGCCCCGGCAGTAGGCGAATTCCTTCTGTCAATCTTGTGTAAAAACAGCTCTCTTGTCCCATGCACGCCCTTTCAAAAGTCCCCTCAGGAAAGGCTCTGTGGGGCTGCCGCCTGGACGGGGTCTCGAGTGGCTGCTCTCCCCGCCCCGCCCCAGGTGAACAACCCTGTCTTTTCATTCTGGAAATGCTTGTGTTTCTGTCACACCGGAATGCAAAGTGTCAGAATGAACACGAACTCTCCTTGTAGCTGTTCCTTTGTGACCAAAGAGAAACCACCCGACCCAGTTGTATTTTAGTTTTCCATTTCTGCAATGACAAGATGCTGCCTCCGTCCTGAACACAACTCAAAGTGGCCGATTATTTTTGACATCTAATGATGGTCAGTGTCTGCCATTGACTGGCTATTGACGTTGACTCTGTACCAAGTGAGCCTCGTTTCCTCACCTGTATCTACCTCGTTTTCCCCCAGGGGTAACGGGAGGCTCGTGGAAGAGTCTCTATATGAGAGCGATGTGGAAATGATGAAGAAGCACATTTTACCTTCCTGTGGCCCATCAGTGTCCTTCTCTCCCCCTCTCCCTTTAGTTCCCGCCCTCTTTTCTTTCTCTCACCCCTTCACCCTTCCCTCCTCTCTCCTTCTTCTAAACTAAAATGAGTGCTGCAGCACTTGCATGGCAGGTGGGGCGGAGGTGGCGTGTAGCAGGCTGCCAGGACTGGGAAGGCTGTGACAGTGGGGTCCCCCCTGGGGGACAGAGGGAAGAGCCTGCGTAGAGGCCTTTCAGGGTCAGCCCCTGGCGTGAGGCTGGTCGTCCAGGCTGTGTGAGCGTCCTCCTCCTCTATGGAGTTTGGACCATAGCTGGCCCCCAGCCCCAGGAGACAACCTTCCCGAGAGGACTGGTCGCGAAGAAGAGAGACGAAGGTGAGGCTGGACTAGAGGCAGGTGGCCGAGAGCCTGGAGGGTGGATCAGGCCCGACTGTGTGACTTGGCCCTTGTCCGACCTGGGAAAGCCGGGCCTGCCTGCCCTGCACGGAGCTGTGAGGCCCCGGCCTTGCCCAGCCCTTCACGGAAAGATAAGCCGTTCCTCACCTGCATTTTGAAAGCACATTTTTCTAATCGAAAGTATTGTGCTTATCTTCATGATTTATGGCTTGCCTGTTGTTTACATTTTTTGGTCTGTTTTCCTGAATAGATTGTGAATGAGTTGAAATTGGATTGCATATTATTTTGTTTTTATAGAGCTGGGGCCCGGCACAGTGCTGGAGCCAAGTAGGTGAGCAGTGAATGTTTGTCACACGAGGGAGTAGATGAGCTGGGCATTGGTAATGTGAGTGAGATGCTTCTGGAAAGTGCCCAGGAAATAGATTATTGACCGATTGGATGTAGGAGTGAGGGAAAGAGAGAGTCAGAGGTCACATTGAGACTTCTTCTTTGGGTCTTTGGGGAGATGCCATTCAATGAGACAGGGAACCCATTGAAAAAATATTTGAGGAAGGAACATAACTCCAGCTTTGGACATTTATTTTAAAAAATGTATTAAACTCCTCAGATATACTGGGCCCCATGCCAGGTGCTGGTGATTCTGAGGCAGCAGGTCAGAATACTTGAGGCATTCGGTCTCCAGGTAAATGACAATTCGATATGTGAACAGAGTGCCGTGGTAGATGACTAATCTGCTCATTCTGTCTGTGGGGTCAGTGATGGCTGCTCTGAGTGACATTTGAGCTGAATCTTGAAGTTTGCCAAGCCGAAAAGGGCATTCCAAGTAGAGAGGAAAGCATATGCAGAAGTGCAGTGCTGAGCTGGGTGCAGCGGCTCATGCCCGTAGTCCCAGCTGTTTGGGAGGCTGAGATGGGAGGATGGCTTGAGGTCAGGAGTTTGAGACCATGTAGCTGGCTCTGTGTATGGCCTATAGACATAGCACCGTTCTCCTAGGGCCACAGTGCAGACAGCCTGGTGTCTTCCCTCCCTCAATCTGACCCTCTCAAGTCCATCTCTCCCCGCCCCACCCACCCTTCCGTCCTGCCGTCTTCACGACTGATGACTGCCACGGACTCCTAAGGGTCTCCTTCCTCAAGCCCATCTGGCTTGTAGCCAGTACCGTATTTCCAAAACAAGTCTGACCATGTCACTCCCCTGCTGAGAAATATCCTCTGACCCCTCCATCCACCTTACCGTCCACCCTGGCCTGCCTGACCCTTTCTCAGCTAAGCTGAACTTCTCCTTGCTCTCTAAGCATTCCGGAATGTTCTCATCACTGTGATGCTGCTTCTTTTTGTTGTTTTTGCTTTTGTTTTTGTTTTGAGATAAGGTCTCACTCTGTTGCCCAGGCTGTGGTGCAGTGGCGTGATCATAGCTCACTGCCACCTCAAGTTCCTGGGCTCAGGTGATCTTCCCATCTCAGCCTCCAGAGTATCTAAGACTACAGGCATGGGCCACCACACCTAGCTAATTTTTTTATTTTTTGTAAAGACAGGGTCTCTTGTTGCCCAGGCTGGTCTCGAACTCCTGAGCTCAAGTGATCCTCCCACCTTGGCCTCCCAGAGTACTAGGATTACAGCCGTGAGCCACCAAGGCCGGCCACATTTTTGCAAATCTCTTTAATGTCTGAATTAATAGAAAACAGCTGGATTCTCATATCTGCTTCTGTATTCTGTATTCAAACTGTTGCAATATCACACAGCATGTAGTCTCTAGAATATTCCATTGTACACTCCTGAGAGGATGAGGGTGAAATAAACAAATTACATCTTAGCATTATTATGAAAATAGTTTTTACCTCACAGACTCTCTGAAAAAGTCCTGGGGTCCCCCGAGGGTCCCTGGACCACACTTTGAGAACCACTGAAGTAGACACTTAGCAAATATCTGTTGAATGACAGCATTCTGAGTTCCCATAGCACCTTATTTAAATAGCATGCCTGGCATTTATCTCACAGATTTATAACTGTGTATGTTTGGTGCTCAGTAGGAGGTCTGAGCCAGACATGCAGCTGTGTGGCGGACTATAAGGGCTGCTGGAGGGTCTGGGCAGGACCCCAACACTAAGGGAGTGAACAGAGAGCTGGAAGGACTCAGGAGGAGAAGCAGGCCAAGTCATACAACCTAAGGCAGCACAGAGTTTCAAGAAGGGGACGGTCTGTAATTTTTTTATTTAAAATAGCAAGTCAGGGAGTGGTCCCCAGTGTCCAAAGTGGCAGAGAGTTTTTATGAGGACAGGACTGTGAAGATGCTGTAAGATTTGGCAGTAAGCAGGGGACCGGTGACCTTGGGGGCAGTTTCGGCATTTCAGCAGCGGTGCTGGCCGTCAGTGGCCAGGGCAGAGTGGGAGGTGAACAGGTGGGGACTGTGACAGAAACCTCTCTGTCTAGGAGGTTGGCTGCGAAATGCCCTTTGCCTGCCAGACTGCCATTGTTAGGTTTGCTCTGGCTGCTCCACTTCAGGGGGAGGCCCGTGGAGAAGGCCAAGCCAAAGTAGGAACCTCGCAGAGATACGCAAATGATGCAAAGGAGTCGAGTAGGAGACTAAGGACTGGAGGTAAAAAAGCAAGGTAGATGCGCGAGAATGTTCACCGAGCATGATTTGTGACAGCAGAAAACGGAAGACAAATTTCCAGCGTTTGACATATGGTTAAAGGCTGGAGAACACCACTCATTCATTCATTCATTCATCGGTCAACACATGCAGTGAGATGCAGCTGTGCTAGGCACTGTCCTAAATGTTGGGGACACAGTGAGCAGCAGAGCAGGTAAACTGGCACAGAAAGATTTCCAAAATGCATTTTTAATAAGAAAAGCAAGTTTTTGAGCAATACATATAGTATGACACAATTTCTGTAAAAACAAAACAACCCTAAAACAACATTTGTGCGCATTAGACATGCCGGTCAACGTGTAGAGAAAGTGCTGGAGAGATGCGAGCAAACAGCAGAGGGGGCAAAGGGGTTCGGAGTATGCACGGAAAGATGTTGTATCTTTTTATTCTTTATGCTTCTGCCTTGTTTGAATTTTTCATTCACAGTAAATGATTATATCTGTATTTTTAAATGGTTTGTGAAAGATGTAGGTCTTTGTGGGTAGAAAAGAGAGAGGAACCCAGTCTGTCCATAGTGTTCCTGTTGGTTTGGTCTTATTCTTCCTTTTGAAAATGTCTGTCCGGCTGCAGTGCCCTTCCCGGGCCACCCCGCAGGTGTAGGCCAAGCAGCGATGTCGGATGGGAAGGCTCGAATTCGGGATAGCACCTTCTGTTGCAGAGGTTCGGTTGGTCTGAGTTAATTGCTAGGGAAGACTGTGCAGCGCACAGAGCTGAAGTTGGGTGGGAGCATTGCCTTTCTGGGAGCAGAACTCACCAGGGCCTCTGTTGGTCAGCTAGGGCTGCCAGAACGAAGCACTGTGGCCTGGGAGCTTAAACAAGGGACTCATTGTCTCACAGTTCTGGAGGCTGGAAGTCTGGGGTCAAGGTGTCTGCAAGGTGTCTCCCTGCATCTTCACGTGGTGGTCCCTCTGTGTGTGCCTGTGTCCAAATTTCCTCTTCTTACAAGGACACCAGTCATATCGGATTAGGGCCCACCCGCCCTAGTGACCTCATTTTAAAGGTCCTGTCTCCAAATACAGTCACCCTGGGAGGTACCGGGTAGGGAGTAAGGGCTTCAACACGGGAATTTTGGGAGGACGCCAGTCAGCCCATGATCGAGCCTCAGAAACCTTCTTCGGCCTGTCCCGAGTGCTGGGTGCCAGGCCATGTGGCCGGTGTCCCTCGGAAAGAGCACTAGTAAAAGCAGCGTGGTTGCATCTTCGGCTCCCCAACCACACCGAGCGACTGAAAATTCCCCCAGGACGGGGACGGGGGACCGGGGACCGGGGACCGGGGACCGGGGACGGGCTCTACTATGATTTCCTGGTAGATAAGGCCGGGAGGGAGGGAACGCGCGCTCAGCTCGCCTCCCCGCGGCCGGGCCGCCGCAAGCCGCTGACGGCGCCCTCTCTCCGCAGCTCATGCCCGTGGCGCTCGCCCTGCACGGAGCCGGGGGCAGGACCCTCGCCGGCCGGCGGGCCCAGCATGGAGCGGCCGAGCAAGATGGACTTCTTCCAGAAGCTGGGCTACGGCCGCGAGGACGTGCTCAGGGTGCTGGGCAAGCTGGGCGAGGGCGCCCTGGTCAACGACGTGCTGCAGGAGCTGATCCGCACCGGCAGCCGCCCCGGGGCCCCGCAGGCCCAGGCCGCGCCCCAGCTCGTGCCCCGCGGCTCCTGCGGGCTCCGGGACTCGGCCGGGCGCGGCCTGGGGGCAGCCCCCGAAGAGGACTGCGGAGGCCCCGCCAGCTCCCTGCGACCCATAGTGATTGATGGCAGCAACGTGGCGATGAGGTAGCCTTCCTTCACCCTGGGCGGGGCGGGGGCCTGCGCTCAGCTGCCCTGAGAACTGTCCCTCCTCTCTGCGGTTGGCTCCAAAGAGCTTTGGGGCCAGTGCATGGGACTTTGAATCCCTGTGCCACCTCTTAGGAGTGGTGTGGCCTTAAGCAAGTCACTTAACCCCTCTGAACCTCACTTGCTCCATCTGTATCGCTGGGATAAAACCTCCCTAGGGGGTAGTTGTGAGCATGGGACCTGCGCGAAATGCCTAGGACAGAGCCTGACACCGAGTAAGTGTTCCCCGGGTGTAGCTGGTCATTATATGAACGCAGAGGAACAGTCTCCTTCTGGGGAGGGCAGTGGCAATCCGAGAGGAGTCCAGGCTCAGGTGTTGGCAGATGTGGCTCCTTGCCCGGAGTCTGTCCCTAACCAGCTGCATGACTCTGGGAAAGCCACAGTACTCATTTCCTCTTCTGTGAAAGAGGCCAATGGATATCTCTTCCGCTTCTCTCAAGGTTAGCAGAACCAGGTGGGAAGACGTACTTGAATTGCGTGGGAAGACCTCGGCTGGGGTTGCGGTTCCTTGGTAGGCTGGAGAGAGGTGTCTGTGGCCCCCCAAGCTGCAGACACAGCTATGTGAATATTTGTGTATTGGCATCTTCGTGTGTTTCAGGAATGTGAGCATCGTGCCGAGCTGTTATTCTGCCTCTCTTGGCTGCGCTCCCCTGGAACAGATCTCTGCAGCCTCCCCTGACTCCCTACAGGGCCAGGCGGGGTGTTGCTCAGATAAGTGGATTATTCCACTTGGCTTAGTTAGGAAATTGTTCACTCGCAGATGCAAATACATGTGCTTCCCTTTTCAAAAGCTGAGTAACTCCCACCTGGAGGTGGGAATCCAGAAAAGCAGTTATCCACAGCACCGAATGAGTCAACAGAGCATCCGAGAGTTTCCCTGGGGATTTGGGCTCACTTTGGACTTGGCCTTGCAGGGCCGAAGTTTGGAAAGTTTCAAGCCATGGTGTCCCAGCCTCAGGGGCTGTCCCTACACACTCTTCATGATTGTGTACTGAGAGTGTTTGTTAAAACCAGCTTTGTCTCCCGGGCCTTGATTATGTCAACAGCTGATGGAGCCCTCTCTTCCCCCTGGGATTTTGGGGCTGGTCCATGGGGACATTATCACATTCTCACCCACGTCCTGTGTAGGCACCAGATAGGTAAGCCTGTGAAGTCTTGCTCAATTTAAGATCTCTGGGGAGTTAAAGGGATTTTTAAGAATCCAGTAGGTTCTAAGGGGCCCACTGGGAGGGATTGTGAGAGGGGCCCTGGCCTCTGTGTGATCTGGACAAGGCACCTCTCTCTCTGGGCATTGATAGGCAGAGGGCTTTGCATGTGAGATGATATTACTTAAATCAAAGACGTTCCCAGTCCTGAGATTATGAGTTCTGTGATTCCAAATCCCAACAGCAGAATGGCTATAGGGTGAAAAGACCACTCCAGGGGCTACTGGAAAGTGTCAGCATTCTCTCTTTGGGGACCAGGCATTTTTTTAGGAATTGTCATAAGGTGGTGGTGGGTTTTCTTTTGATGGGAGTTTCTGTTGCTGCTTGGAATTCAGATTTAGACCACGTCCTCTATTTGCACATGACCATAATGTGTCCTGGGTAAATCTACTAGTCCCCCATCTCTGCCTGCCCCCCCTCCCCAGTGCCTACAATTATAACCAGTTTAATCCCTTTCTATTTAGTCTGTGTGGGTTACAAATGGAAACCATCACTCAGACTTATTATGAAGAGTGTCTCAGAGAATAAATGCATTCACACACTGGCTGCCTACAAAACACAGGTACCTATGTACATTCTCTGTGTGTGTACATAGGTATATGCACCCACATATCTGTCTATACACACAAATATCTCCACCCCTGCCCCTGGATCCCAATTGTTAAGAAAAAGAGACAAATTGCCCAACAACCACCTGATCATGAGACTTAATTTGTCCCTTCCAAAGGCGAGTTCTGGGAGAGAGTAGGGATCCCAGGTTCCACCCATCTCCTTCCCCTTCTACGACGGTGTCTATGATGTCCTCCAGTGGGAGTTTCAGCAGGACGCATGTCCCTCAGGGTCTGCCAGATCCTCAGTCATGGAAGAGATTCAAGTGGGTCCTCATCCTTTACAGGGAAAGGATGTTTGAAACCCAAAGTGGTGTCTTGTTTTTATCTGTTGACCTCAAAATTCAATTAACCTCAGAAGTAGGGTTTCTGAAAATTCTCTTTCACTGAGGTTTTGTAGTATTGCACACATTGCCATTTTCTGTTTTGTTTTTTTTTTGTTTTTGTTTTGAGACAGGGTCTTATTCTGTCACCTGGACTAGAGTACAGTAGCATAATTATAGCTTACTGCAACCTCAAACTCCTAAGCTCAATCTTCCTGCCTCAGCCTCTTGAGTAGCTGGGACTACAGGCACGAGCCACTGCATCCAGCTAATTTTTCTATTTTTTGTAGAGACAGGGTCTTGTTCTTGCTCAGGCTGGTCTCGAACTCCTGGTCCCAAACAATCCTCCCACCTTAACCTCCCAAAGTGCTAGGATTATGGGTGTGAGCCACCGTGATGCACCTGGCCCATTCTCTGTTTTTGAAAGTGATACTGCTTCATGTACTGTCTGGCCCTGGAGTGGTGGGGAGAGCTTAATAAAGACTTTCCTACCCTGAGCAGATGAGAAGCATGTCATCTGGTGGCAGGATCATCCTTCAGTGTGCCTGTTGCTGGCTGTGGCTCTGTCCCTTGGAGCCTGGGGTGGGCTTCTGGAAGCTCTGGGGAACAGGTTGTTTTCATGTCTTTTCCAGCTTCTAGAGACTGCCTGCATTCCTTGGCTCATGGTCCCTCTGTCTTCAAAGCCAGCAATGGCCTGAAATGATGCACACAATGTGGCATGCATATGTGCATTTATGTGTTTCTCTGGGGGAAGATTCATTGCTTTCAATAGATACTGAAAGGATCTATGATCCCCAAAATGTTAGAAACCACTGATGTAGAGTGAGAAGTTACAGATAATGCCGGGCTTTATGGTCAGGGATTTTTTTCCTGGGCCTCAGGAGGCACTAAGCCACATGTCCCTGTTAGCACAGAGAATGTGAGAGTGGGCCATCAGTCCTTGTTTGGACCCTCTCAGTTGCACAGGATGGGACTTGATGGGCTTGGTCAAGGCTAGCACTGGTTTGAGTTAGACTCCGACCTCCACCAGCATGCTCCCTGGCCATGCCACCACAGGTAGAAGTTTCTATGGGCTTCCCTCCCCAGTGCTTCAGATGGTTTAGCCCAAGGCAGTGTGTTGTGGCTGAACCTGGAAGCCTGGCTGCTGCTCTCTGGAGGTCTGCACAGTGGGTCACTGGCCAAGTGCTTTCTGCAAGAAATGGGCTCTTTCAAGCAGGACTTCAAGCAGGACTAACGGCGTCATCTACCATTTCCTAAAGGATATGTCAACATAAGAACTTTAAGTCAAAACGGGGAGAGCACACAATAGGGCCCCGGGCAGCAGACCTTATGGCTGCCCCTGGTTGCCATAACCCACATAGGACACCAGGGAGGTCAGGGGAAGGGGACAGAATGTGGGCACCTTTAACTCAGGGCCATCCGACTCCCTGTGATGACAGAGAGTGCTATACCTACACTGTCCCGTATGGGAGCCACTTGCCATATGCGGCTATCCAGCACTTGAACAGTGGCTAGTGCAACCAAGGAACTGAATTCTAAATTTTATTTTTTAAAATTAATCTGAATTTAAATATGAATAGCCACATGTGGTGAGTGGCTATTATTGGACTGTACAGCTCTCCCTTTTCAGCCTACCAGCTGTGTAGCCTCAGGAGAGTCATCTGATTTTAAAAAAAAATTTTTTTTGAGGCAGGGTCTCGCTCTGTTGCCCAGGCTGGAGTGCAGCGATACAATCATAGATCACTGCAGCCTCCAACTCCTGGGCTCAAGTGATCTTCTGGCTTCCGCCTCCCAAAGTGCTTGGATTACAGGCGTGAACCACCAAGTCCAGCCCATCTGACTTTTTTGAGCCCTGTTTACACAATTTAGAGGTTGGACTAAATAACCTTAAATAGCTTTTTTATCTCTACCATGCTAAGATTCAAGGTGGTTATTTTTATTTTTATTTTTTTGAGACAGAGTCTCACTCTGTCACCCGAGCTAGAGTGCAGTGGTATGATCACAGCTCACAGCAACCTCAAACTCCTGGGCTCAAGCAATCCTCCTGCCTCAGTCTCCTGAGTAGTGGGGACTATAGGCACGCACCACGACACCTGGCTAATTTTTCTATTTTTTATAGAGACAGGGTCTCCCTCTTGCTCAGGCTGGTCTTGAACTCCTGACCTCAAGTGATCCTCCTGCCTCGGCCTCCCCAAATGCTAGGATTACAGGCGTGAACCACCCTGCCTGGCCCAACATGGTTATTTTACCATATGCTTAAAAGAAGTAAATACATTTTTCTTATGAAGGAATTTTTCTTCTTCAGAGGTTCAGAGAGAGTAAGTAAGTAACTTGCCCGAGGTCCCAGAGCAATAGTGCCAGCTTGGATTCAGTGCTCTTTCCCATGCAGTTCCCATTTCTTCTGCTCTTCCCCAGTCCGGCCTTGGCAAGGGCTGCAGAGTGGGAGACCCTAACCTCATAGGTCTTTGTCCTGGAGCCAGAGCCCTACCCCTGCAGGGTGAGCCCTGGGCATGCCAGCTGCAGACAGGATGTGTGAGGCCTCTGCTCCCTCCACCAGGGGCCCTTTGCAGGGCTGGTGTCAGGACCCACTCCTGCTGCTGCCAAGGGGCTGGGGCCCCTTGTATGAGCACTGAGTGGTAGCTCTGGTTGATTGCCAAGTACAGCCCCCACACCTTCAGGATAGAGGGGTGTGTGTGTGTGTGTCTGTGTGTGTGTATGAGACAGAGAGAGAGGGTCAGCTTGGGTTACTCAGCTGAATACCTGCATTGACAGACACCTGGCCCTAAGAAAAACGTCCAGCAGCAGATTTTTAAAAAGAACTCAGCTTTCATTGAAAGCATATTAAAAGCTGCATCATGGTGTTTGGGAAGAACCTGAGTTCTCATGAGCCAACTGTTGCAGCGTTTCCTTGCCGGGGCAGGCAAACTCACCAGCAGCCAATCTGTTTTACGTTCTATAGGCAAATCTAGAAAAGGCAGGATTCGAAGTACAAGCTTGGGGGGAAACCACCTGATAATTTCACATCCTCTTTACTGCCCCAGAGGAGGGTTTCATTTGAATGTGTCCTCATTTTGGAGGGTACAGGGCTTTTTGTTTGAGTTGTTGTTTACATTTTTAACACACTGGCTGCCACACTAGAAAAAAATTTTTTCCTTGCGGCCACGGTGTTTTATTATGAAAATAGAATAAAAAGTGTCGAAAACAAAATGATCCTTTCTAATTTAATGAAAAATTTGTTATATTTTATTGTTTTCTGTGTGTGAGTTATATGCAACTTGAAAAATAGTTCACGAGGGTCCCAAGGTGAAGAGACTTGTGAGTTACATATGCTTCACGAGGCCCGGGCTCAAAACTAGCGTGAGTTAAATACAACTCACATGGCAGTTAATGCGTTAAACTCTTAGAAAACTCAGCAGGCTCTGGCTTATTCTGGAGTAAGAAATCTCCAATGAAGAGAGAGTTCGGGCTTGAAATCATGCCTCTCTCAGTTTTCATCATGCCCCTCTCCGTGGTTTCCAGTAGGTGGAAAAGAGATGGGTGGGGGGTTTACAGCTGGGCCCCTGAATCTGCTCTGCCTTGGGCTCCTACGTGTCTGCACCCATTTCTCCTTCGATAAGATGAGGGCACCTAGAGCAGCCCCTGCCCACCCTCCCTCTTCCCCCTGACTTGAGCGGGGCAGAGATCTCCTGGTAAGAAGAGTCAAAGCGTTTGCAGTTTAAGCCCAGATAAGAAAGAAAATGGAAATAGCGGTGCCCCTTCACACCTCAGACCCCTCAGGAAGTGTTGCTCATCTTCCTTCCCCCCACCCACTGCCACAACCTTGCTCCCTGCAGGACTGTTTTGGCTCTAACTTCTGCAGGGGCCTCTTGGGCAACAAAGACACAGTGGTGTGCAATGAGATTGTCTAGTTACTGTAAATGACGGGCTCCCTAACGGCAGCTGCCCCAGGCACAGTTGTCGTGCAGGCAAAATTTGCTTCAGGCACCAACCCACTTCCCCTTCCCACCCTCCCGTTACTCAGTTTCCTCTTCCAGTGCCTGGCGCTCAGCCTGCTGCCTGGTTCTCAGTGCCTGGCAAGGAGGGTGGGAAGGGCCCTCCCCAGGCGTGAGCATCTTACCTGTGGGTCATTATTGCCCTAAAGGAGCTGCCATCTGGACCCCAGGGATAGAGACTGGGGAGGGGGAGGAATAAATGATCTTTGGGAAACCAGGGAGGAAGAGTTTGCAGCCCAACAGGTCAGGCGGCCACTAGACCAGAGAGCAGGGCACGTTTCTTTGCTTCGGCTTCCGTAAGGGTAAAATGAGGACGAAAGTCACTTCCTCAAGGGCTTGTTGTAAAGATTAAATGAGGTGAAATGTGAAGAGTGGCCTGGCAAACAGAACTCTCTAGAGATATTAAAAATGAGCTCCAAGAAGTGGGAGTGATGTCTCTTCTTAACACCCAGCACAGAGCCTTGTCGTAGATGTTCGTAAAGTGATGTTGGGTCCATGGAGGAATGCACAGATGAGTGGATGCCCTTGGGTTATGCTTTTGCCTCTGTACGCCGGGCAGTGGGTCCCCGTGGATGCTTATTGCCTGCCTGGGAGCTCAGCCAGGGTTCAGTTAACCTCCCTCTCCCCACTGAACCCCCTCACCCCAAAGGTGTCGAGGATGGAAAGTTGGCTTTTGAATGGTTAAACACCGTGTAATGAGTTGCAAAAAAGAGAGCAATTAAGAAGCAATTTTTGAAATAATCATGGTAGTGATATTTTTTCCTTCTGAAATGACCAAGGATAGACTTTGCTGCGTTCAAGAGATGCATGCGTTTGGGGGGTGCGGTGGAGGGAAGGGTGTCACCGGTTGTTCACATTACTGCTGGATGGGGTCTAGAGGGTCAGGGGGTGCTTTCATGAAGCAGCACCCTTCTGTTTTCTTCCTCCTTCTCTGATAGATCCTTTCCGTCTCTTGCGTAAGACCCCTCCTCGACTTGTAAGCAGCTGCTGAATCCCATAGTTCCTCCAGGTGCGGCCCTGGGCCACTCACTTTCTCTCCGGGCAGTCGGGTAATTTTGTCCAGGCTGTGGATTCAGCTATTGCTTAAGAAGAGATGACCTACGACTTTTATCACTCAGACCTCTCCTCTGAACCCTCGCTGTTTATTTAAGATCTCCACTTAGAGGAAACCTCAAGTAAACAGCTCAATTGCAGCCAAGGCCAACTCGTGATCTTTCCCTCGGAAGCCTCTTCCCATCAGCATTCCGTGTGTCAGTGATAGCTCACCGTCATCCTCGGTGCCTTCTTCTCTGTCACCCCTATGTCAATGGGTCACCGCGTTCTGGAGGTTTTACCTTCCAAATATCTCTCAAGTTCACCCGCCCTTCTCCTTCATCCACCACCAGCTCAGTCCAAGTCTCCATCAGTCTTTGCTCTGCTCACTGCAACAGCTTCACTGGTTCCCTACACCTGCTCTTGCTCCCTTTCAATTTACCGTTCTCTGTGCTGCCAGAGTGGGTTTTTTGAATCAAAATTGCATCACATCACACATATCTCCAACCTTAACACCCTTCCATGGTTTCTCATTCCCCTTAGGAGAAAGGAAAACATCTTCAGTCAGGCCCCCACGGCCCCACCTGTTCCCACACCACTCTCTCTTCCCTGCCTCTGCTGACGTCTTTGTGAACTTGGGAAACCCAGTAACACATTTACAGCCCTCTCTCAGGGCGAGAGCAATTCTGCAGACGGCTACTCTCATCCATTCGTGTTGATCCTCATTAGCTTCGGTTAAAGAGAGGATCTTGTCTGTTGGTCCTTGCAATGTATTCCCCTGGGAACCTGAGACCCTCATACCTATCACAGGCTGCATGGTTCTGGTTAAGGCACACAGCTTGTGAATGAAAGAATGACTTGTCTTTAAAATGTGGGTTTTCCTGGTTCCCTCGATTATGAGATTGCGATCCAGGATATTCCCGGGGGAAATCGCTCTTGGGGGCACTTTCTGTGTCTCTACAGATTTCTTTGTTTTCCCATTGTAGCCATGGAAATAAAGAAATCTTCTCTTGCCGGGGGATCCAGCTGGCTGTGGACTGGTTCAGGGACAGAGGACACACCTACATCAAGGTTTTTGTCCCATCCTGGAGGAAAGAACCACCAAGAGCTGATAGCCCTATTCGAGGTATGCTGGAGCAGTACATGCTCAAGAGGTACCAAATACGCTGTTTCTGGATAGCACAGTGATAGTCACTTATCTGTTTGGTTACTTGTTTAATGATGTCTGTCTTCTTTACTGCACTGTAAGCTCTTGAAGGCATGTTCACTGCCATGGCCCTAGCAGCTAGCACCTATCGTGATACCTGGCATATGCTCCCTGTTCAATAAATAGTTGTGGAATAGATGAATGAATAAATTACTCTTTTAGTGTGAATGATTGAGTTCCAAAAATAATTGTGTCTGATGAGTTTTAACATCTGAGGGAAGATTGCATTCCACTCCTAATAGTATACAGGATTTGAAAGAGACATTTATTCAGTCAGGTATTATTTATTTATAGATTACCTAGTCCAATCTCTTCATTTAGAAAAAAAAGAAAGAAAGAAAATGGAGACCTAAGGGATTCTCTATTTTTAAGTTTTAATTCAACTAGGAATATGTTAAGCTACAAATATTAGAACACAATGGTTTATTTTATTATTTATTTATTTTTTCTTAGAACAACTCATGACATGTAATATGGTTTAAATATACAGGATTTTGTTTGTTTTTTATTTGGCTTTCTTACACAGGTTGAGTATCCCTTATCTGAAATGCTTGGGACCAGAAGTGATTTGGATTTTGGGATATTTGCCTTATACCTACTGGTTGAGCATCCCTAATTCAAAAATCCAAAATTTGAAATGTCGCAATGAGCATTTCCTTTGAGTGTCATGTTGGTGCTTGAAAAGTTTTGAATTTTGGAGCATTTTGGATTTTTGGACCAGGGATGCTTAATCTGTAAGAGGAGATCAGGTGCTAACCCTTGTTGGCATTGTTTCAGCCAAGTCAACAGTGTAGGGCTGAGCTCTTGGTGATTCTGGGAGGTTTCCTTGATTTTTTCTTCCAGGATTTTTACCAAAGGTTTTTGGTTTTGGTTTGTTTTAAATTCTATCAGTGGTTATCAACTGCTGCTTCTTTTCTCTCTGTTACTCTAAGCTATTCTTGTCTCTGGGATGCAGCATCTTCTTGAATATTTGTATGCTCATCTAGACTTTTAAAAAAGTTCTCTTAATTTCCACAAATTTTATCCAGTTTTTTTCTGGGATCAGTTCTCTTTGTTCATCTTACGTCTGTCTGTCTGTCTGTCTGTCTGTCTCTCTCTCTCTCGTTGTGTTTTGTGTTGTTAGATTTTCCTCTCAAAAGTCTGGTGATTTTTGTCAGCTTTTATCGTGAACCAAGAATGAGACTGGTTAAATATACAGTCATATTTCACTTAATGATGGGGATACATTCTGAGAAATGCATCATTAGGTGATTTCTTCATGGTGTGAACTTACACAAACCTAGTTAAAGTCTGCTACTTACACTTACTACTACTTACACAAACCTAGTTACAGTCTACTACACACTTATGTTATATGACACAGCTGATTTCTCCCAGGCTACAAGCCTGTAGAGCATGTCACTGCATTGAATACTATAGGCAATTGTAACACAACAGTAAGTATTTGTGTATCTAAACACGTCTAAACATAGAAAAGGTACAGGAAAAGCACAGCATAAAATATACAATGTGGTGTACCCATATAGGGCACTTACCAGGAATGGAGCTTGCCGGACTGGAAGTTGCTCTGGGTGAGTCAGTGAGTGAGGGGTGAGTGAATGTGAAGGCCTAGGACATTCCCGTGCTCTAGTGTAGACTGCATAAACACTGTACGCTTAGGCTACATTAAATTTATAAAATTTATTTTTTTTCAATAATAAATTAACCTTAGTTTAATGTAATTTTTTACTTTATAAACTTTTAAATTTTTTTAACTTTTTGACTTTTTTATAATAATACTTAGCTTACAACACAAACTCATTGTACAGCTGTACAAAATCTTTTCTTTCTTTATATCCTTATTCTATAAGCTTTTTTCTACTTTTAATTTCTTTTTAACTTTTTAAATGTTTTGTTAAAAAATAAGACACAGACACATTAGCCTAGGCCTACACAGGGTCAGGGTCATCAATATCGCTGTCTTCTACCTCCACATCTTGTCCCACTGCAAGGGCTGCAGGGCAGTAACACGCATGGAGCTGTCATCTCCTGTGATAACAGTGCCTTCTGGAATATTTCCCGGAGGACCTGACTGGGGCTGTTTTACAGTTAACTTTTTTTTACTAAGTAGAAGGAATATACTCTAACGATGAAAAGTATAGTATAGTAAATATATAATCCAGTAATATAGTCATTTGTTATCATCAGCAAGTAGTGTGTTCTGTACACAATTGTACATGCTGTTCTTTCATACGATGGACAGTGCAATAGGTTTGTTTACACCAGCATCCCCACAAACATGTGAGTAATGTGTAACGCCACAACGTCAGGACTGGTACAACGTCACGAGGCAATAGGAACTTTTCAGTTCTGTTATAGTCCATTTATGGGGCCAGCATCGTATATGTGGTCTGAAACATCATTATGCAGCACATGACTGTACATCTCTGCAATTGCCTTGGGTTTTCTCTCCCAGCATTCAAACCTCTCCCTAAATGGCAGGGCTAACCATCTGGGTGGCTGGCAGTTTTCACTGTAGCATACCTGGCGTGGAGCGGGCAGGCAGTGGGACACCTCTGCCCACCGCCTATTCCAATGCAAAATGATGACGGTTTTATCTAGGAGGTCAGGAGCCACAGTGGGAGGCCTCCTCCTTCCTGGTTGTATCTGAACTTTCTTTATAGTGGTAGGGGTAGGGAGCAGTGGAGTTCCATACCCTTGGCGTCAGCTGGCCCTCGAGTAGCTCCCCATTAGCCATCCCGCCCTGCCTGACTGCTGTTCCCTCTCGGAGGCTGGGACTGCTCCGCGACTCTGCCGGGACATGGCTCCCACTTCGCTTCAGCCTTTTGTGCACACTCTGGGCTTTGGTTCCCTCCACGCTGTGGGATCAACATGATCCTGTCTGCTTTCTGTCTTCCTAAAATCTGTCAAAATCCTGGGTTTGCTGCTGTCCCCAAGCCTATTTGAATGTGATTACGGACCCCCCTTTTGTACCTCTTTATTGCCATTACGTTGGGACTTTGAGAGGGAGGGGGATAAATTCTTGTGTTCAGTTCTCCATCATGAACCAGTCACCCAAAATTATTCTTTATGTTCTGAACATGAAGAATGGTGGCTGTCAACAGTTGTGTAATATTTAAATATAACATGAGCAAACAGGAAAATTATTTCGAGGAAGGGAAGGAATGTTTAAACAAGCCACAAGTGCAAACCTATGCAGGAAAGATGAATAAATTTTACATTAAAATAAAAGCGTCTGTCCATTAATGGATACCACAAAAACAAAAGAATGAAAAGACAAGCCTCACCCTGGGGGTGGTACACATCACATGTTCCTGATGAAGGACTACTGTCTAGATCTAGAGAGAATTTCTCCAAATTAATGAGACAAAGACAATGAACCAACAGAAAGATGAACTAAAGAGTGAATAAGGCATTCACCGAAGAGAAACATAAATGGCCAGTAAACTTATGAAAAGATGCCACATCTCATTAGTAGCCAGAGAAATGCAAAATGAAACCACAATAAGAGGCAATTTTGTACCCACCAGATTGTCAAAACAATTCAAAAGCCTGAAAATGCCATGTGTTGGCAAAGTTGTCTCATACGCTGTGCTGGGTATGGAACTTGGTATATCACCACTCTGGAAAACAATTTGGCATTATCTTGTAAAGTGCCTTTCCCTACAACTCAGCAAGAGCCACTCTTAGAGATATATTCTAGAGAGGCCCTTGCACTTCTGTGCCAGGGACTTACAAACGAAACTAACAGCAGTGAACATATCAACATGGCCAGACCTCACAAACATGATGGCAAATGAAAAAAGCAAGTTGCATAGTACATGTATAGTATCCATTTGTGTGAAGTCCAGTGTGTAGCCACATTGAAAATAATCCTTTATACATGTGTATTTTTAAAAATAAAAGCAAGGGAATTACAATATAAACATAAAGTTCTAAAACTTGGGTTATCTTAAGGGAAGTAGAGAGGACTGCAAACTGGTTGGGGCAGAGGGGACTTTCCAAACATGGGCCACCTTCATTTCTCAAAGCAGGTGCTATAGAGGTGACATTTTTTATTATTCTTTGTATAATAGATACATTATAAACATTTTTTTTTGTTAGACCTCTGTCACCCAGGCAGTGGTGTCATCATAGCTCACTGTAACCTCAAACTCCTGGGCTCAAGTGATCCTCCTACTAGGACCACAAGCATGTGCCACCACGCCTGGTTAATTTTTAAATTTTTTTGTAGAAATGGGGTCTTGCTATGTTGCCCAGGCTGACCTTGAACTCCTGGCCTCAAATGTCCTTCCGCCTCCACCTCCCAGAGTGCTGGGATTACAGGCATGAGGTACACACCTGGCCACATTATGCACCTTTTTAAAGTCTGGAAACCATGTCGTAATGGAAAGGACTTAAACTTGGGGGAAGAAACATTTATGACAAATCATGAAGAATATGCTCTTCCAAGTTCTGAGTAACTATTATGTGTTAAAGGGATGTTTCCTTTTTTTTTTTTTTGCAAGTCTCCAAAAGCAAAAACTAAAATCAAACAGCAGAACTTCCCAGTATGGGCCTTGTAGCCCCTGATAAGAAAGCCCTTATAATATTTCTACCACCTGATACGTGGTCCCCTCCTTCGTAGCTTTTGCTAGCACTCTCTCACACCCGAGCTTATTCAGTCTGCTCACAGACACCCTGAGATGGGTAAGGGAGGTGTTTTCGTGCTCTTTTTATAAATGTACGACCTGACATTAAAACAGTGGTAAAGTACCCAGGAACTGGGGCTCAGCCCAGAACCCAGGCTGTAGATTCTTAGCCCCAGACTCTTTCTATTACATTCTTGAGTCCCTCAGATCTGTCAGTTATGTGATGCTGCACCCCAAAGGTGTCCCGAGCAGACTCTTGTATGGTGGGGGAAGAGGACCCGTGGTTCCCAGTGAAGGGCCCATGCAGGAGCCTTCCAGGACTCCTCGTCATCGCTGAGGCATTGCCAGGGTTCCAGTTAAACAAGAAGGAGGCCCCTGTGTCTACTAGGGTAGGGGCAGGTAACCCTCAAAGAGACCAGAGCTGCAACCAGAACCTTCCTTCTGAAGTGACTCTGCCTTGTTGCGCACCGTGCTCTGCCCTCCTGTCCCGGCAGGGGCAAGACAAGCCAACGGCCCTCTTGACCTCGGGCCGGGGGCAGATTCAGTGAAGTTGAGTGAAAGAAGTAAACGCGATGGTGGGAGAAACCGAACCTCCTGCCCCTCGTCTGACGGTGTGGGGAGTGGGGTGGGGGTGTCCCGGCGGAAGTCCTCACCGCGGTCTCTGTCGCCCGCGCCCGCAGAGCAGCACGTGCTGGAGCAGCTGGAGCGGCAGGCGGTGCTCGTGTACACCCCGTCCCGCAAGGTGCACGGCAAGCGGCTGGTCTGCTACGACGACCGCTACATTGTGAAGGTGGCCTACGAGCAGGACGGCGTCATCGTCTCCAACGACAACTACCGGGACCTGCAGAGCGAGAACCCCGAGTGGAAGTGGTTCATCGAGCAGAGGCTGCTCATGTTCTCCTTCGTCAACGACCGGTATGGCCGGGCAGGCTCCTGACACGGAGGGCAGTGGGGCAGAGGGGCTGGGGTCCCGGGCTCACCCAGCCCTGCAGACGGGGCTCACCCGGGCTGCACAGTCACCTCTGTCCCTCTGAGTCTCCCCTTTCCTGGCCGGCCTTCTCTGTGGGCACTTTCCCCAGCAGGGCTATTTTGTCCCTGACCTTGCTGTCCCCATGGCCACGTACGACTGACTCACCACAAAGCTGCCCAGCAAATGGGCCAGGCGTGTGCTTTTTTAGAATTTAATACTTCAAACAAGAGCATTGAAATAGTCATCATGAAAAAAATCTGAATTTTGTTGTGTTGCCTTTCACTTCCTTCAGGTTTGGGGCTGTTTTTTAAAAACATTTTTTTGAATTACATGTCGGGGTGGGCAACAGACTCTTTCCTCTTGGGCTATAAAGATCTTCACTTGCCCAGCACTGACTCTGTCTCCCTACCTCTGCGTTGAAATTTCCAGAGAACCTGGTTGGCTCATCTCGTCCTGTGTGGTCCCCCGGGGCCGGGTCCACTCTGGACCAACCAGCCATGGCTGGGGGAGGAGAGGGCCTTGGGGCCACAAGCCCCCACCTGTCAGCAGGTGCTGGGTGAGGCCCTCAGCCCGAGCTAAGGTGGGAGGAGACGATGGCACGTCCACTTGAGACATACTCGGGCAAGCTGAGGGCAGACACTGGGGCCCGGCAAGGTGGCTAGAATGTGTGGGACAAGGTGGGGAGGGCACAGAAGGCTGGGACATCACTCCTGTTCCGGTTTCTGTTCTAGGCAATGATAGCTCAGCCCTCATTCTGGGCTCTGCGACTAGCTCTTTGGAACGTGGATTGAGACAAGCTCCCGAGCTCAGTGAGGGCAGGGACTGTATCTGTCTTACGTGCCATGTCCCCACATGCCTGGCACATAATGGGCAATAACTAGCTGTAGATGAGTGAATGAGTGAAACAGTTGCATGGACGAGTGAACGAATGGCTGTGGCCCTGGGGAGGGGGATGAGGAAGGAGGAGAAGGCACGTGGCCGGGGCCCAGGCCACCTGCACACGACCCAGCAGTTCCTGACCCTGAAGCCAGGGAAGCAGTGTGCTGCCGTGGAAACAGCTGGGGCTTTGGAGCAGGCAGGGGAGGTTTCCGAGTGAGGCCCTGCCACTTGCTGGTTGTGTGTCCTGGGGGCAACACTCAACCTCACTGAGCCGATCATTCCTCATGTTGAAAAGGCATTACTAATATTACCTCTGAGATTGTCGTAAGGACTAAAGAGAACTGTACCCCAGAAGTGGTAACAGTTATTCCCAGGCCAGACCAGCACATGGTGCCCCAAGGAGTACTATTGTCCCCACTGCCACCTGCCCCTGCAGCCATGGAGGTGCAGCTGCCCTCCTGAGCCCCAGGGCAGATGTTTGGCTACTACCCTGCAGTAGCCCCCACGGTCATTTCCAGATCTGCAAGGCCAGCAGCGCTCACTGTCCAGCTTCGGCCTGCAGGAATTGGCAAGGCTGTAACTGTGGGTTCCAGAAATCCTCACTGAGGACTGATGGATCATGGCTGCCTCTGGCCTGGCGACAGCCTGGGGCCCGGGCCAAGTCCTTTCGATGCACTGGGCCTGCCAAAGGCCCCCCAGAGGCAGGGCCTGCCACCCGCCTGTGAGCAAGGGCATCTGCCCCCGCGCCCCGGGCACGTCCACAGGGCCCTCTTGGCACAGCTCCTGCTCCTGGGAGAGCAGGAAGTGAAGTCTTTGGGAACTTTTAATAACCGCAGTGGGCGGCTCCCCTGCTTCTTGGTCAGGACCCAGCTCTGAGAAGCCGGCTGTGTAGCTGGGAGCTGAGCCATGGTGGCTGCCCTGGCCCAGGGCTCACCCAGCTCTCGGCATGATCTCGGACTCTTAGAGGAACACCAACTCACAGAGTCTGCCCCCCATTTAGAACCCGCAACCCCTTAACAGAACCTTAGCATGACCTGGAAGTGTCTCTGGGAACAGCAAGATTCATATAAAAAAGTGGATCTCACTAAACAAGGGGAGTTTTCTTTCCAAGGAGTTTAGTTTTCCCCTTGGGCCCTGAGCACCCTGAGCTGCACCCCCCCTTGTTAGGGCTCAATGCCAGGGAGGAGGGAGGGGGAGGCAGGGCAGGGTCAGAGTGACTCGTCCAGAATAAGGGCAGCCCCAGGAACAGACCAAACCCAGTGCCCCGGGGTTAGCAGAGGAGCACGTCGCGTGTGCCAGGAGGCACTCTGTGCAGAGGGTGCCTGGCAGCCACTGCTTCACCGATTCCCCAGCCAGGTATCTCACTCGCTCTGTGCACACTCGTCCTTCACCTGCATCTGCCCAGAGCTGTGTTTGGCGTGAGGTGAAACACAGGAGAAATGCGACCCAAGGCTCAAGGGGCTCAAACAACTCTGAAACCTCTGGAACTGTTTGGTAACCCCATGGAGGTTTCTAACCTTCCGTGGAGGACAGTGGGAAGCCAGGGGAGCCCTAGAGCGATTATGCTCCAGTTTTCCTGGACACAAATCACCCGGCGAGTTGTTAACATGCAGATTCCTGAACAACTTCATATTCTGATTAAGCAGGTCTCGTGTGCAGCTCTGGGACTGTAATTTTTTTTTTTTTGTGACAGAGTCTCGCCTCTCTTGCCTGGGCTAGAGTGCTGTGGCGTCATCCTAGCTCACAGCAACCTCAAACTCCTGGGCTCAAGCAATCCTCCTGCCTCAGCCTCCCAAGTAGCTGGGACTACAGACATGCACCACCATGCCCAGCTAATTTTTTCTATATATTTTTAGTTGTCCGATCAATTTCTTTCTATTTTTAGTAGAGACGGAGTCTCGCTCTTGCTCAGGCTGGTTTCGAACTCCTGAGCTCAAACAATCCACCTGCCTCGGCCTCCCAGAGAGCCAGGATTACAGGCGTGAGCCACCTCGCCCGGCCTGGGACTGCATTTTAACAACTTGCTAGATGATTCTGACGCTGCCGGCTTGAGCCAGGCAGGAGGAAGAGGCCCAGGGCCGTGCCGTGCAGCCCCCCACGGGGAGTTTGGTGTCAAGGGAGGGTTTTGCCTGCCTGGTGCTCCCTGGGTGGCTCGGGCCTGCTCCCTCCCTCCAGGTGCCAGCGGTGAGTCCCAGTTGGTCTTGCAGTTGCCCCCCTGTGCTTATTTTCCAGGTTCATGCCTCCCGATGACCCCCTGGGCCGACACGGACCCACCCTGAGCAATTTCCTGAGCCGGAAGCCAAAGCCTCCAGAGCCATCTTGGCAGCACTGCCCCTATGGTGGGTACCTCCTGCCCAGTGCCTCCTGGGTCCTATTCAGGGCTTTGTGCAGGGCACAGGGGCACAGTCAAAAGCACTGGCCTGGTGGTCAGGAGACTTGGTTCTCTCCCAACTTCTGCCCTGCACCAGCTGTGTGACCCTGGAGAGGTAACTTAGCCTCTCTGGACTGCTGTTTCCTGACAGGGTTGTCGTAAGGATGAACTGACATCCTGGATGGCTGTTGCAGAGAGGTGTTTGCCAGGCCCTGGTGCAGGGGTCCCACTCAAGGCAAAGCCCTGTCTGAGAAGCAGAGAGGCCGTGTGCATCCCCAGCTCCCATTCTCAGTCCCTCCCCTGGCCCCCGGCATTTCTGTCCTCACCCTGCCCCACTGTGCCCGCCTCCAATGGACTTTGGTCAGTGCTATCCATGAAGAATTAAGGATTTTATCCCAGAGCCCTCAGGGATGCCAGCCTTCTAGCCAGCTTGTTCACTAACTTGTTTTGGCCAGTTATTTGATGTCCCCAGGCTTTGGTTTTTATGCTTACAGAAGTTCATTAAAGCCTTGGGTGACATTCAGAGTCATTTCTTGTTAGAATTAAGGTGACCATTCAGGTTGGCCCATCTCGACCCCGTTCACTCTCAGAAGTGCCCGGGTTTCGATGGTAACCTGCCTGATCATTTGATCACGGCTCTGCCAGAACAGTCTGTAGGGAGAGAGCAATGGTTAGCAAGGGGGGTGTGGGCAGTGGTGGAAACTGAGGCGGCACTGGGGGCACAATCCTAGGCCATGAGCACCCACTTCCCACCGCCCCTCCCCAAGATTGGCCCCATCCACAGGGTCCCTGGGGAAGTGGGGGCTGAAGGTCATCAGATCCGGAGATTTGATCCCAGTCCCTGGTCAAAGGGAGTTCCCGGACCGACACTCACGGGGGTTAGTGTGCCCAGCGCACCCTCGCCCATGCCAGCCCCCCGGGCACTTCTCCCTGGGGGCCTTCCAGGAGGAACATCCACGGAGAAAGGCTGCGGGGGCGGCACTGCCCCGACGCACGAGGCAGCCCAGCCTCTCCGCGGCCCAGGTCTCACGCCCTCTCTGCCCCTGCCCCCTCCAGGCAAGAAGTGCACCTACGGCATCAAGTGCAAGTTCTACCACCCAGAGAGGCCGCACCACACGCAGCTGGCAGTGGCCGACGAGCTCCGCGCCCAAACACGGGCCCGGCCGGGCGCCGAGGAGCAGCGGCCACCACCGAGCACCCGGGGCGGCCCCGCGGGAGCCCGGTCGGCCCCCCGGGAGCCAGGTGTACGCAGCCTCCCGCCCGCGCCGCAGCCGGCGGACCTGGCCGCCCTGCGAGGGAGCTTCTCCCGGCTGGCCTTCAGTGACGACCCGGGGTCCCTCGGGCCGCGCCCTCCCGGCCCCGCCTGCGGCCTGGCGCCCGGGCTGCGCGGGCCCGACTGGGTGTCCACCGGCGGACCGGCGCCCCTGCCTTCGCCATCGCCGCGGGCGGGCAGCGCTGCCACCTCTGGCCCGCCCGGCCTCCCGCCCCTACCCGGGCCGCAGCTCCAGCCGCGGGGCGGTCACCGGCCCAGGGACCTGCACGGCGACCTGCTTCTCCAGCACAGGCCGCCCGACGACCCGTGGGCCCATCCCCGGGGCTCCGACCGCTTTCCGAGCCGCTCGGCCTGGGTGGAGCCGGCCTGGGGCGACGGCGCCTTTGGGAGACCTTCGGGGTACGCAGCCGCGGACGGCGAGGGGGACGCGCGCGCCCGGGCGCGAACTGCGCTCTGCAGCGTCTTTCCGCCGGAGCAGGTGGACCGCGTGATGGCCGAGTCCCCCGACCTCTCCGACCTCGCCCGGCTCATCCTCCTCCTCGTGCAGAGATGCCCAAGGGCCGGGGCGCCGCTGGGGAACCCCTAAGGGACCGGCCCACGCCCCTGCAAGGCATGGCTCGGTCTTGCCTGGCAACTTGGGCGCGTGGGCGGGTGGTTGCCAGCCTGGACCTGAATCAGCCCACCGTGGCTGCCCCTTTTCTTTAAAGATGGTCGGGAAGCCTGCTTCCTTTTCCTTGGTGGCGCTTGATGATCGCCACGGAGGCCTGGGCCTGCTGCGGAGAGGTTCACCCACTTGTGTGGAGAGAGTATTTCTGGTGTGGGGAAGACAGGTCCCAACGCAGCTCCAAGCGTTTGCCCTAAACAGCCTGTGACTGTGTCAAGCTGTAAGTGGAATCCACAAAGGGGCCACGAAATCGATTTAGTGGGTCACCTCCTCAAACACAACGGACTGGGACATCTCAGAGCACACCCTGTACAGTCAGGCTGAGTATGAACTCTTGTCACCTGGCCCCGTGTGTCGCACACCCTTGGTAGCGTGTAAACTTAATGTGGTTCATGGCCAAAAGTTTGACAAAGGCTAAGTGGTCTCGAATTTCATTGCATCAAGTAATGTTTGAAATACGTAGTCAGGTGGCCAGGGGAGGTTGGATATCTGGAAGCCTTCATGTTAGCTACCGCTAACCTCACCCACCAGGGGAGCCCAGCCTCGACTATTGCTCTGAAATTGTGTGGTTGTGCCTGGCTGGGGATGAGAGGCCGGGCACTTTGTCCTGAAGGCCTGTTTGGGGGGTCTTCACCCCATTCAGCACACACCCCCCCCACACCACACAAATATCACAAGCACACACAAGGGCACGCTCTCTCACACATGTACACACACACACCCATAGACACATACATACTGCTTGGCTCAGGGTCAAGTATCTCTGTTTTTCCAGCCATTCATCATGGCAGTTTCCAGAGCAGGCACTTCACTGGGAGCCTTCTAAGCCATTCTTCACGCTACACTGGGGCAGGTGTCAGGACTTTTGCTGGGAAACCGCAGGCGTAATGGCAAGAAGTTTAGTGATGCTGCGTGGCCCCTGCGTCCTCAGAAGGCCCTGGCATCTCCAGACGGCATCCAGCCCTCCAGGCTGTGGCTCCCTTGTTCATTAGGAGACTTGGTAGCTTTTAGGGAGAGTGTGAGGCACCTCCCGGGGGGGAAAGCCAGCCGCCAGCAAGTGCAGAGGGACACTCTTTGCAGTTTATTTTTAGGCACAGTCTAGGGGCGCCTCAGGGAGAATGTGTTCCCAGCTCTTTCATTCATGGGAAATGCCGCCCCTGGGAGAGCAGCGATGTTAGTCTTCCCCACTCCTTTAATCTTTTAAAACCAGATTCTTACCATAGTTTGAGCCAGAGCTGTTCCTCTGCTTTTTTTCCCCAAAGAGGACACCGCACCCACAATTTTACCTTATTTTGGGACCTCAGTCCTGAAGAGGGTCCGCTCTTTCTAGATAAATTGGGTTTTCCTCGTGATGTGTATTTTTTTTTTCCTTTCGACAAGACACGCTTTCTGTTAGAGCTGCTTTTTGCTCTTTGGTTTTTCTCCTTATGTGGAATCATTGCGTAGCTGATTTACAGTTGTAAATGTTTAAACTGCTTCCTTTGAGGACACGTTTGAGTTTTAGTAAGCTGTAAAGCTATTTTATTTGGTTCACTGTGATTAAGTACAAAAGAAAAGTAAAGAAACAGCATATTTCAAGTGTTATCCCCTTTGGAATTTTTCCAAAGTCTTAGTATGTCTTTGTGACACAAAAACATGGAAGGGACAGGTAAATAAATGTTCCTAGTTGCATAGCTGTTACTGTGCTCCAAAAATAAATCACTTTTACCACACCTGGACTCTTTATTGTCAAGTTGTATATCAGTTTCTCCTACGGGCTGTCCCTTGTAGATTTGCTTGTCACCTTACATGTGGTGGCGTGAAGACTGAAGCTGCCGCTGGTCTCAGCAGCTACGGTTCAGTGTTATTCCGCCCTTGGGGGGACGTGAGAGGCTAGAGCCCACCTTTCCCAGGAGAAGCAGCAAGGCCCATGGTGAGGACTTACCTTTGCTGGGTGATCAGCAGGTGGTTCCCATGGGCACAGGCTGCTGGCCCGTCTCCTCGACTTCTGAAATCCTGATTATGGAACTATGAAGCCAGCTCATAAAAGCAGCTCTGCTTGTTTAAACCTGCAGCCCAGGTCCCACCTACTCAGACCAGAGGAGCCCAGTGCTGCCCTGGGTGTACCCTGGGGCAGCTTTCCCAGAGGCCTCGGAAGGTGGTTTGAGGCAGAACTGCAGAATGTTGACGTTGAGGGGCAGAAGCAAGGGACCCAGTCATGTGGCACTGCTCCAAATAAAGTAAACCCAGCTTTGGTTTGACATAGCACTCAGCTGTGGGTACAGCTCGGATGAGGCCACAAAGGCTGCCTGCAGCCGGGAGAAAAGTCCACTTAAGGGGCTGGGGTGGGGAGAAGACCACTGAGGAGCACGTGTGTTGGGGGAAAGGGGTTCTGGGAACTGGAGCAATTCATTGAAATCACAGGGCCCACCCACCATGAGGGAATGCAGGGAGCAACTACATAATTTGTGGGGCCCTGGGAAAATCAAAATGCAGGGAACCCTGTTCAAAATGTTTAAGAATTTCAAGATGGTGATAGCAGAGCATAAAACCAAGCATAGGGTCCTCCTACGTGCAGGGCCCTGCCACACACCCAGGAAGCGAGCCGTGCATGGAGTTACCAAAAGGACAAGCAAGAGAACATTTTCAATAGCTAGAGTGTGTTCATAACAAAATGTTGTGTGAAAGAAGTCAGAGTCCAAGACACACAGACTTTATAGCTAGAAAAGGCCATTTGCATCCGGGGCAGGGGTTGGCCTTGAGCCCCTACCTGAGGGCGTGCCCCCTGCAGCCACCGGAGAACCGGGTGGGGCCTCCCTGGGCTCTCCCTGCCTCTCTGATGCAAGGGGCTGACAGGGTAGGGGGGCAGTTGAGGGGCTTGGGAAAACCACACCCTGGATCTTCACTTCCAAACGGGATGTTGTTTGCAGTAGATCTAAAATTATACTAGTTTCTATTAGGCGAGCTTCTTTGGCTATAAGTGTAGTCCACAAAAGTAAATGGCAGGAGGCCAGGGGTGGAGGCAGCTGCAGGGTTGACTGGAATTAGAGGCTCGAAACTCTCTCAAGACTCTCTTGTCTGTTTCCTTCTGTTCTCTCTCTCCTAAGGTTTTTCCTACACAACGAGAGCCATTCTGCTGGCTGACTCAAGCACATATCCTTCCAGCTAAAGGACTCGAGAGGCAGCCTCAGAAAATCTGGGGCAAGGATTCTAATTGGCCTGACTTGAGTCATGTGCCTGTCCCTGGACCTACCACTGTGGGATAAGGAAGTACCGCAATTGATCCAGCCTGAGTCTCAGCCCACCTCTGGCTAGGATGAAGACGTACACTGTGACCGTCACCTCCCACCCAAATCCACATGACTGGTGGGGTTGTGGGGGAGGGAGATGAGCAGGTCCTCCAAGAAGGGGGGACACTTCAGGCAGGGGAAACACATGGCCACAACAGTGTTCAAGCCTGGGGACTGGGCCGGGGCCCACGATGTCCCCACCCTCCTCCACCCTCAGCTCTGGCCCTATCTGAGAGAGGAGCGGTTGGGGAAACCCTGTGTCTGCTCATCCACAGACTACATGGCCTCCCGAGGGAGGAAGGTGGGGGCCCGCTGTACAGAGCTTGCGGTGCCATCTTGTCTGTCTTGCCAGTGCCAGGATTGTGGCCAGACGTGCACTTTGGTGGAACACCACCAAAAACCCCTGTGGGGGAGGAAGAGGCTCTTACAATGAAAAGGTGACCTGGTTCTCTTTGACTCACTTCTGAACGGATGCCCTCTAGAGCAACGGTCCCCAGGGTTTTTGGCACAAGGGACTGGTTTCATGGAAGACAATTTTTCCACAGGCCATCTCATGAGGAGTGTGCAACCTAGATCCCTGGAGCGGGCAGTTAACAGTGGGGTTTGTGCTGATCCGGCAGGAGGCGGAGCTCCGGTGGTGACGCGAACAATGGGCAGCGGCTGTAAATACAGATGAAGCTCCACTCCTTGCCCACCACTCACCGCCCTCTGTGCGGCCCGGTTCCTAACAGGCCACAGACTGGTACCGGTCCATGGCCCTGGGGGTTGGGAACTGCAGCTCTAGAGCTCTGGAAGCTTCTGCATCATAGCAGCTCAGCCCAGCTGGGCGATGAAAAGGAGGGGCTGGGGCCTGGCCCTGCTCAGTAGCGAATTTGTCCTGAGTTCCTGGGAACAGCTCTCTGTCCGCATGCGGGAATGGCACACCTATCCCAATGTCCACAGACAGGGAAGGGGCTGGGCAAACAGATGGCAGGGCAAACGGGCCCAGTGCGCAGACCCCAGCCCAACGCCGTGCTTATTACCTGCTGACCGGCTGGTGTTGACTGACTGGCAATGACTGATGCCAGCTGGCTGACACTCCCTGACTCGGACTGGCTGACACTAACAGACTGATTGACCCTGAGTCACTGACAGGGTCCCACTGACCAACTGACTGACACTGACTACTGCCGGTTGACATCGCTAATGACCAATCGAAGGACTGGCTGGTGACACTGACGTTGACTGATGCCGGCTGACCGACTCTGGCTGACTGACACCAACCAATTGGCAGACACTGACACTAACACTGACTGACCGACTGACAGACACTGACCGACGAGGCCGAAGTGCGGTCAGCGCCTGCGGCTGCTGGGAATGATCACTCAAACAGGATTGGCAAACCACGACAGTTTTGACTTTCTCTACGTCAAACTCACTCCTGAATATGGTGTACGTGTTACCACGCCAAGCCGTGTTGAGCCTCCAAAGTTGGCTTCACCGAGGCCGTTCCTGAAAGAGGCGGTGACAGAAGCATCATCCCGCAGAAGCAGCACGGGACGCCCGGGAGGAGGGTGAAGTTCTTCTCCTTGCGGGCGTGATTCTGGCCCCTCCGGCCCCTCGCTCTCTCCCCGGCTGCCCCAACTCTCACTTCTTCCAAGCCCCCACTTCGCA